GACAGGTTATATAATTATTCCTCTAATTTGGGTTTGAGTATTAATTTATCCAAATCAAAAATAATAATTTTTAGACATGGTGAAAGGTTGAGAAAGCTGATAAGTTTTCTTAAACGGTAAAGGAGTAAGTGTTGTTAATGAAGTTATATATTTGGGATTCGTCTCTCAGCTACTGGCTCATTCCAAAATTACATTTCTTACATTAAAGGCAAAGCATTTTCCAAAATAAACATTATAATAGAAATCTTGAGAAGGGTTATTAAAAACAGTCATATGGCTTTGTGTAAGAAACTTGCCGCCTCTCTTTTTACTTCGAATTGGTAATCTGCCCTTTTGGGGGGCCTTTTTGTTTTCGACTCTATAGAACTGATGTTCTTTCATCATCTTTTTGGTCTTGAGATGTCAATCCCATCGTATGCAATTAGATCCGAGTTGGGTCTTGAGTTTCCCCGGAAACGCTTCGTTAAATTTATCTTAAATTTACTGAGAAACATAATCTCTGACCCATCATCCTTGGAATGTGAGGCTTATTCTACTTTGAAGAAGTTTTCATCAAAAAGATCGCTCAAATTCTGTTAGTTTACTAAACTGGAGAATCTATTTAATAAAATAGGTATCTCACTCTCATTGATAGATTCCTCTCCAGATGTTTTGAAATATTACACGAATACAATTTTACAAGAGTTTGATAATCTTTTCTTGAGAGAAGAAGGGGACAGGATTCTTAAGGCTAAGTACCATTTATGGTACCCATAAATATTAGACACAACTGGTGCTTTTACATTTATTATCAACAGCTACCGTTTATTGTTAAAAAAACGATAATACAGATTCGTCTAAATAAGTTTCGTTTAATATGGAAACACTTGTGTATTGATCTACGTTCACCGGAAATGTGTCCATTTTGTAAGAAAGGAAATGCGACTTTAAATCACTACATGTTTGACTGTAAGGATTTTGAATACTTGCATCTATCAACACTTCCTAATAATGCTTTTTGTACTAATAATGTTGTTTGCAAAAATCCAGCAGATAGAATTCATGGATTATTTTCCATCAATGACTCAGTAGAATCTATATGGACTAAATATAATTTATTGACCAAAGTTATTAATGTTACCCCTCCTCCTAAAAATTAATTTTATGTATGGAGTTTTCAAATAAATAAATAAATTATCATCTGTAATAAACTCAATATTTCAAGAGCTATATGAAGTTGAAATAGAGTTTAAAGTGGCAATATGGCTGATGTGAGTCTTGGCAACAATGGTTGCCATACCTAATAAAAAGGTAAATAAATGGTAAGTAATTGCCTATTAATTACCACTAAAAAAAGTAAAGTAATATCAATTGAATTTACTGAGAAAATTGTACATATTATCTACAATATTCAACATAAAAAGTAGAGTTGATAATTTAGATTTTACTTTCTAAACATACACTAGAGTCAAATAAATATAGTCCCCAGTTATTATATAGCAAGAGGGAGAAATTACTAGAAATTTAGTCAGCTTTCAAGATACAAGATTTAGTAATAGTATCTAATAATATCAATTAAAATTTTGATGTATAAAAATCATGAGAAAATTAAAAGTGAAGCATACTTATACATGTTTTATTGGGTTCTGAAAACAGTGAAATGGCAGATGAATACATGTGAAACATAAGAAATTCTTCTCATTTTTCAAAAGCAGCTCTTGGCAAGTTTAAACCTCTTGGCAAAGAAAAAGCTGTTGAGTAAGTTTATAATAATTGCAATTTAAAATTGATAGATAACTCATGCAGCAGAGCATAACCTACGAATGTTTCAAATTGACTTTAAAATACCCTTGGTATTGAGTTTTGATGATTCATCATATAATTTTGTTGTATTTGCAATTTTTATATATTTTAAAATGTTACAAATGTAAACAATCTTAAACACTAATAATTATTAATGAGTCATACTGTGTTTTCTTTTTACTTCAGATAAAATGTTCTCAAGATGAACTGTTTCAGCATCAGCCTCTATTTCATTCTAATTAAAATCCCATATGTTGCCAGTGTTCTAAAGCTATTATATGAAACTATAGGGTTGGCAACTAAGTGATTGCAGATTTTAAATAAGAAGGAAATTCAAAATTTTTGCTTAAAAATATAACTTTATTCAATTAGGTATTGTCCATTTTTGTCAATGACCTCTTGCCATCTTTCAGGCAGTGTCATAATTCCATGTTCATAAAACTTCTGATTTTTGCCAGCAAAAAACTGAATTAAATGTGTTTTTACATCATCAGCGTCATTAAAAATTTTACCATTTAAGGCATTCTGCATGGAACGAAATAAATGGTAATCTGAAGGCACAAGGTCAGGGCTATATGGTGGATGTGACAACACATCCCAACCTAGCTCCAATAATTTTTGGAGAGTGACCAAAGATGTGTGGGGCTTTGCATTATCATGCTGGAAAACAACACCCTTACGATTTGCCAATTCTGGCCGCTTTTCTTGAATTGCATCACTTAGTTTGGCGAGTTGTTGAACGTACACATTTGAATTAATCGTTTGGTTTCTTGGTAAAAGTTCAAAGTACAGAATTCCTTTATAATCCCACCAAACTGACAGCATAATCTTTTTTTGGTGAATCTCAGCTTTTGGTGTCATCTGGGCTGGTTCATCTTGCATTACCCATGATCTTTTCCGATTAACATTGCTATAAACTATCCACTTTTCGTTGCCAGTAATATGTCGTTTCAGAAATGGATCAATCTCGTTGCATTTTAGAAGTGAATCGCAGATGCTAATGTATTGCGTCAAATGAATTTCCTTAGGCTGATGAGAGACCCATAAATCCAGTTTCTTGACATAGCCAAGCTGTTTTAATTTTTTTTGAATGCATGTACGTGATACATTGAGCTTCTGTGCAATCTCACGCGTTGTGCTATGATGATCTGATAATGGCCTTGATATGGATCTCGTCAACTTCAACTGGACAGCCAGATCGTTGAGCATTTTTTAGTGAAAAATCACCAGAACAAAATTTGGCAAACCAATTTTGACATTGCCTTTCTTTCAAGGCTTCATTCCCATATACGGCACATAACTTCTTGTGTGCTTGTGATGCGTTCTTGCCTTTTCAGAAATAATACAATAAAATATGTCTGAAATGAACGTCTTGTTCTTCCATTTTTAAATTGGGATAAAAACGAAACTAAATAACTAATTGATACAATTTTTTACTAAATTAAAGGTGGAAGTCCAAACAACAAGAAAACAATATAGGTTAAATGCTTTGAACACGATGACAAAGCAAAAAAATGTGCTAAGGCCACCTATTGACAAAATCCGCAATCACTTAGTTGCCAACCCTATAGNATTTAAATTAACAATATAAATTTTTATTATTCATTTGGCCAATAAATTATTATTTGGTCAATATAACAATATAAATAATTCAGTATATTTGTAATAGGAATTTATTATTTCAGGGGCTTATATCTCTCGAAGGGTCACGAATAGGGGTATGGCTCCTTTGACTTTATTGTTAATACAGGGGTGTACGGTTTGGGGGGTCGCCACCTCTTCATTCGGAGGGTAAATCTTACCATTCGGATTTTAACAGAGCTGTAGAGCATATTGTAAAGCATAAAGGTAAAGGAACAAAAAAGTCAAAGGAACCATGCCTCATGGAAACTTGTAAAGAACGCCCACTAGGGGGCATCCCAGGCTACTAGTTCATAATATCTTCCCTTAAACTTCAATAAGCTGACAATAGATTTCAGCAGGTTAAATGTTTTTTTGAATTCAAAAATGTATCATTGTACCTTGAAAATCGGTGGAATTGATGAGCAACTATTTTTCTCAACTATTTATAGAGGAAGCATGTTCTTCCTCTATAGAGGAAGCATGTTCTTCCTCTATAAATAGTTGAGAAAAATTGTCCACAACATACAGAAGCTCAGAACTTTCTAGAAATGTAGAAATAACGTGAACAGTCTAAAGCATTGATGAGCATTGCAACCTTTACTGAATGTGGCTACAAGTAAACTTTGTAAGCAAGCCATAAGCATTTTTTCTTATGGAGTTGCAGGCTTTTAAGCCTGCTGAATGCCAACATATTTGATAATCTAATTAAGTACTAAAATAGTATATGCTAAAGATATGAAAACTAATAATATATAATTTATTCTAATCTTTTCACTGTCAATTTTAGTTTGAATGTTCTTCACATGTATCAGCTTAATTAGATCTATATAATGACATGAGGCAGAAAATAAGATTATTGTACAGTACATTGACAAAGCCACAGGTGTCACATATTAGTATCTTGAGAGCAGCATGCAGCTCGAGTCATAGAATGCTCACAAGTGGTCTAAAAAATGTTTTCAACCTTGAAACAACTCCAGACAACTAGCACAAACATGATTATGCACAAATGATTTTTACTTTAAAAATGACCAAGCACAATGTTTAAATTTTTGACAAACAGTCAATGCAAATAATTATCTTACATAAATGTTTGCTAAAGAAAATCATATAACAATTTGGTTTTGTTTTGATGATAATGTCAAATAAATTCTTAATACTATCATTTTCTCTTACTTCTAATATGAGACACACACATTTTTTGTCCCAATGAAACCAATAATAATAAAATATAAATAAGAAGTTATTAAAAAGACTAAATCTGTTCATGAAAGAAAATTAATAATTAGAAGAGAAAAAGATAAAAAGTCATAACTTTAATTTGCTAAATTAATTTATAAAATTTTTTAGTTATTTACTATTTTATATTTTTTACATTTGCTTATAGCATTTTAAAAAAAACTAAATAACTATTTTAATTAAAACTACTAAGTTACGTATACACACATATCCACATATTCTAATAATTCAATGTGAAATAATTTGAATTCACTTTTCATTATTTTAAGGTAAAAAATTAAAATAAAATGATCAAAAATTTAAGAAATAATTTTATGTTAATTTTGCAACAATTCTTAACTTGATAGTAGCCTTACCTCTGTTTTTCTTGGTGGTTCACCATTTTTATTGCTAATTATTAAAATATTCCTTGCATTTTCTCCACAACGAAAACCAAGTTCTTCTAACGAATGACTGCCTTCTTCATTAACAACAACCTAATAAATGAAAAAATAATTATTCTAAATGATATTTTTTATTCAAATATTAAATCTTTCCATAACATTTTACAACTTTATTTAAAAACAATTAAATATAAATATTCATTTTTATCTTTTTGCTTAAATATAATTATTATTGTTATAATTATCATCAATAAAATCCATCTAATAAACAAAGCATTGACAAATATATCACACTAACCTTAAAATGCTTTACAGATATTTTTTAACATATCACAAACATTTTTGGTCCACCCTAGGACTTTCTTCAGGTGGAGTTCTACTAGAGAAAACCCTTTTCTGGTGCAATTCCATTCTATTCTGTTTCTGATACGTTCTAATTTTCTTTCAAATTTCCTTTTTAAACTTTTTTTTTAAAGGAAATTCGAAAGGAAATTAGAACCCATCAGAAACGGAATAGAATGGAATCGCACCAGAAAAGGATTTTCTCTAGTAGAACTCCACCTGAAGAAGGTCCTAGGGTGGATCAGAATATGGTAATGTTGAAACTACATATATATATATGTTACAGTCAAAACCCGTTTTTAGTTAGAACGCGTTTTAACTAGTTGAAACTAGTTTATACTAAATGTCTTTGTTAAAACCCGTTTTGTCTAGTTGAAACTAGTTTATACTGAATGTCTTTGTTAAAACCCGTTTTGTCTAGTTAAAACTAGTT